TATCCTAGGTAGTGCTTGGTGCAAGAGAGAGGTTTGCTGGCATTTAACTCACCTTATCACCCATCTCTCTGTCACAATTCTGCTAAATTGTTGAGCCCCCATCACATCCAGTTTCTTATGGACATTCTAGTCTCACCCAGCACTGACTCAAATTTGGACATAAACTTTTTTTTTCTTTTTTTAGACAGAATCTCACTCTGTCACCCAGACTGGAGTGCAATGGCACAATCCCAACTCACTGCAAACTCTGCCTCTCATCTTCAAGCGATTCTCCTGCCTCAGCCTCCCAAGTAGCTGGGACTACAGGTGCATGCCACCACGCCCAGCTAATTTTTTGTATTTTTAGTACAGATGGGGTTTCACCATGTTAGCCAGGATGGTCTTGATCTCCTGCCCTCATATCTCATGTTAAAATGTAATCCACCTGCCTTCGCCTCCCAAAGTACTGGATTACAAGTGTGAGCCACCGCGCATGGCCCAAACGTTTTCTTAATTCCTCCTAATTGAAATTGTATATATCCTTTGATCAACATCTGTCCAGCCACCCCCATCCCTGCCAGGCCCTGGTAACCACAATTCTACTCTCTACTTCTATGAGTTCAACTTATTTAGATTCCACATATAAGTGAGATCATGCAGTATTTGTCTTTCTATGCCAGGCTTACTTCACTTAACATAATGTCCTCCAGGTCATCCTTGTTGCAGGGATTTCCTCCTTTTTAAAGTCTGAATACTATTCCATTATATATATCCCATTTCCTTTATCCATTCATCCTTTGATGAACACTTAGGTTGCTTCCATATCTTGGCTATTGTGAATAGTGCTGCATCAAACATGGGGGCATAGATATCTCTTAAACATATTGATTTTATTTCCTTTGGATATTGATACAGTTTAAATGTGTGTCCCTGCCCAAATCTCATATGGATGTGTAATCCCCAATGTTGGAGGTGGGGCCTGGTGGGAGGTGATTGGATCATGGGGGTGGAGTTCTCATGAATGATGTAGCACCATCCCTTAGTACTGATCTCACAATAGTGAGTTCTCATGAGATCTGGTTGTTTATAAGTGTATATAGCACCTCCCCTCACCCTCTTGCTCCTGCTTTTGACATATGACATGCCTACTCCCCTTTTGTCTTCTACTATGACTGGAAGCTTCCTCAGGCCTCCCCAGAAGTAGGTGCCATTATACTTCCTGTACAGCCTGCAGAACTGTGAGCCAATTAAACCTCTTTACTTACAAATTACCTAGTCTCAGGTATTCCTTTACAGCAATTCAAGAATGGACTAATACAGAAAATTGGTAGAGGAGTTGGGCATTGCTATAAAGATGCCTGAAAATGTGGAAGCAGATTTGGAATTGGGTAACAGGCAGAGGTTGCAAGAGAGTTGAGAGCTCATAAGACAGGAAGATAAAGGAAAATTTGGAACTTTTTAGAGACTGGTTAAATGGTTGTGACTAAAATGCTGATAGTGATATGGACAACGAAGTTCAGGCTACCAAGGTCTCAGATGAAAATTAGGAATTTATTGGGAACTGGAGCAAAGTTCCCTTCTGTTATGCATTAGCAAAGAGCTTGGCTGCATTGTGTCCATGTTCTAGGGATCTATGGAAGTTTGAACTTGAGAGTGATAACCTAGGGTATCTAGAAGAAGAAATGTCTAAATAGCAAAGCATTCAAGATGTAGCCTAGTGCTTGTAACTGCCTACCCTAAGATGTGGGAGTAAAGAAATGACTTAAAGCTGGAACTAAGCAGTGTAAAAGTTTGGAAGACTGGCATTGGCCATGTGGTAGAAAAGAAAAGCTCATTTTCAGAAGAATTCAAGTAGGTTTCTGAGCAACAATTTGCTAGATAAATTTGCATAACTAAAAAGGAGGCAAGTGCGGATAGCCAACTCAATGGGAAACGGGCATTTCAGAGATCTAAGAGGCAGCCCCTCCCATCACAGGCCCTGATGCCTAGGAGGAAAGAATGGTTTCATGGGCCAGGAGTGACCTGTGCAGCCTCAGGACATGGCTCCCTGCACTCTAGCTGCTCCAACTCCAGCTGTGACTCAGACTGCAGCTCCAAAGGTTGCAAGCCATAAGTCTTGGTGGCTTCCATATGGTGTTAAGTCTGCAGGTACACAGAGTATAAATAAGGCTTGAGAGCTTCCACCTAAATTTCAGAGGATATATGGAAGAGTCAAGGTGTCCAGGCAGAAGCATGCCACAGGGGCTAAGCCTTGACAGAGAACCTCTTTTTGCAGGGCAAAAAGGAAATGTGGGGTTGGAACCCTAACTCAGATTCCACACTGGGGCACTGACTAGTGGAGTTATAAGAAGAGGGCCACCATCTTCCAGATCCCAGAATGGTAGATCCACTGGCAGCTGACATCATCAGTATAGAAAAGCCACAGGCACTCAACAGCCTGTGAGAGCAGCCTCTGAGCCTGAACCCTGCAAAGCCATAGGGGAAGAACTGCCCAAGGCCTTGGGAGCCTACCCTTAAATTGGTGTGCCCAGGACATGGGACATGGAGTTAAAGATTATTCTGGAGCTTTAAGATTTAATTACTGCCCTACTGTGTTTCGATTTTGCATAGGGCCTGTATCCTTGTTCTTTTAGCTAATTTCTCCCTTTTGCAACAGGACTATCTATCCAATGCTTGTACCCCCATTGTATCTTGGAAGTAACTAACTTGTTTTTTATTTTACAGGCTCGTTGATGGAAAGGACTGGCCTTATCTCAGATGAGACTTCAGACTTTGGAGTTTTGAGTTAATGCTGGAATCAGTTAAGACTTTGGGGGACTATTAGGAAGGCATGATTGTATTTTGAAATGTGAGACAGCCATGAGATTTGAGAGAGGCCAGGGGCAGAATGATATCGTTTGGATGTGTGTCACAATCCAAATCTCATACCAAAATGTAATCCCCAATATTGGAAGTGGGGACTGGTGGGAGGTGACTGGATCATGGGGGCAGATTCTCATGAATGGTTTAGCACCATCCCCTTGTTTCCATCTTCATGAAAGTAAGTTCTCATGAGATCTGGACATTTAAACGTGTGTAGCATCTCCCTCCTCACTCTCTTGCTCCTGCTTTCACCATGTAATGTGCCCATTTTGCCTTCTGAAATGATTGGAAGCTTCCTGAGGCCTGCCCCAAGGCAGATGTCATTATGCTTCCTGTACAGCCTGCAGAACTGTGACCCAATAAACCTCTTTTCTTGGAAATTACCCAGACTTGGGTTTTCCTTATAGAAATACAAGAATGGACTAACACAGATATACACCCAGTAGTGGGATGGCTGGGTCATATAATTATATTTTTAATTTGAGAAACCTCTGGAAGAGGCATTATTTTCTATAATGTATGTACTAATTTACATTCCCACAAATAGTAAGTGTTCCCTTATATCCATATTCTCACCAACCCTTGTTGTATTTTGTCTCTTTGATTATAGCCATTTTAACACTGTGAGGTGGTATCTCATATGGTTTTAATTTGCATTTTTCTGATGATTAGTGATGTTGAGCATTTTTTCGTATGGACACTTTTTTTTTTTTTTTTTTTTTGAGGCAGAGTTTCATTCTGTCCCCAAGGCTGGAGTGCAGTGGCACGATCTTGGCTCACTAAAACCTCTGTCTCCCAGGTTCAAGCGATTCTCCTGCCTCAACGTCCTGAGTAGCTGGGATTACAGGTGCATACCACCATGCCTGGCTAATTTTTGTAATTTTTTAGTAGAGAATTGGGTCTCATCATGTTAGTCAGGCTGGTCTCAAACTCCTGATCTTGTGATCCGCCCACCTCAGCCTCCCAAAGGGCTGGGATTACAGGCATAAGCCACCTCGCCCAGCCTTATATGGGCACATTTTTAAGGGACTTGGTTGCGGGTGCGGGGGAGGGGGTGAGGGGCTGGGGGGTGTGGTTCTTTGCAACAATGTAAACATCCAGTCCCTCATCAAACTTTCAATTTTTTTCACTTACTGATTTATATCAGTTTGGAATTATGATTCTCTGTTATTTAATGGGTTTTAATCTATAACTAGCACTATTTATTTTGATGCTCAAACCATGTCAGGTTTGGTCAGTGAAAGTCCCTTCAATCGGGTTTCCATGTCCTTTGAACACGTCCCTACCATTTTTTGAGCACTTCCTTACTTTTCTAGCACAGGTTGTTCTAGTTCATTCTGAACCTTCCCTTCCCTAGCCCTGGAACCTGCCATTTCTCCATGGAGTCTTGCTCCTTTCAATGAAGCATGGTATTAAGGAACCAAGGGCTGACTGCCTAATGTGCTTGCCACGTATAATGTCCTCAGTCCAAGCTTTTCAAATTGATCTGCCAAAGACTCATTGCCAGAATAGAACAGTGGAAGGAAGTTCTTAATATTGTTTAAAAGTTACTATTATTTGTATTTTTCTCTTTGTAAAAAATTCATTTAAATCAATATAAAAAGACAAAATTCTTTGGCACATAAATTGCAACTCTCCGGTCCAAATCTTTAAATAAAGTTGATACTCTAAGAATATATAACATATGCTCTTTATTCCACAGACATATAGGCCTATGGTTGCACACTTTTATACACACACAGTCACAATTCCACTAGCACCTGTGACATTCCACATCCAGATTTTCCAAGTCACACGTTCACATCTTCACATAGCCTTGCCTGCACCCAGTCACACGGCATAGTACCACATTGTTACGTCAAGCACAGACACGATCTACCACAGAGCCTGTCGTCCCATTGACCAAAGTCACAAAAATCACACCCCCAGGTATTTTCTGTGGTTTTCTCCAGTCAGATGCCTTTACTCACTACACACCGACTCACACTCAAATTACACACACGCGGAAACACAACCCGCCACAGCCAAAGAGGCTCCGTCGGTCCCGCAACCCTCACAGTACCACATACACGCGCTGACAAGGTCAAGCACAAATGGCCAGGCAAACATTCTTTATAATACACGTATGGAGCGCCTACGATGTACTACCCCGGGACTACCTCAAGGGGTGAATCAGACAAAATCCTGCCTGGCGGAGGTATCGCCCAGTCCTGCACGCACTCGGCCTCAGGGTCCCAAGGATACACTCGGCGGTCCCACACTCAAGTGGCCTGGCGAGGCACAGAGGCGTCTGTTCTCCTCCTCAGCTTCCCGCGTGGGTTCCCGGGCCTTAAGTTGAAGCCATCGGGTGCGCGCGCGTCCGCGCCTGCGCACAGAGACCCTGTGGACTGCATTTCCCAGAAGCCCCTTGGGCAGTGTTGCCTGGACCCCGGGGGCCATTTCCGTTGCTTGCCTACCGGTTCAGCCGCCTGGGTGCGTTCTTCACAGACAAGAAGTCGGAGCTAGGTGAGGAGGAACGGGACTCAGGAGTAGCACTGGGGATGAAACTGCCGCCCAAAATGAGGCGCTCTAGGGCCCAGACCTGGCGTGCCATGCCCGGAGGGAGCCTCAGGCCTGTGCGAGCGTGGGGAGCGGAGAAGGGGGATTGTGTGACACAGTGTGGTAGACGGTGGCTGTATGTGTGCCGCGCGCGCGACGGGGTGCCTGTCAGGACCGGGTTGGGTGGGTGTGGGTGCAGATGTGAGGCTGAGACAGGTGCCTGGCTTTCTGGTGTGTGTCACTGACCCTCTGCCCCCCTCACGGCCCCGGGTGCCTGCACAGCGCAGTGTCCCCAAGGGGGAAGTCACATACTGAGTTCTGGGATGAAGGTTCTCAGCAAGAAGGTACAGACCTGGGTTGGCAATTGGACTTTTGAGTTAGAAGTGTCCCTAAAACAGACTCCTGGGACGACAGGATGGAAGGGCGCCCATTGGAGGCGCTGTGTGGACAGCTGCGTTTTTCAGAACCACCGAATTCGCGTACCTCAGATCTAGAAATCTGCTGTGAGTTCAGAGACAGATTCCAGCTTCACTCTCACACAGCTGTTAGATGCGTCAGGTCGGCGCAGATGTGGCGCTAGAGGGGGATATTCTGGGTCGGTCTGTGCTCTAAGAAAGGACTGCTGTCTCACGATTTTTTTCTTCCCTCATCCTGCCATTCACCAAAAGAAGGATCCTGAAAAGAAGGGAACAATTGTTGTAGCAGGTCCAAAAGTTCAGATCCAGGTAAGTTGATGTTTCCTCTTTGTTCATAAAATACAAATCACACATTCCAAATCACACATTCTCATCTTCACCCAGCCTTGCCTGCACCCGGTCACACGGCATGGTACTACACTATGTCAGACAGCCACAATCTACCCCAGAGCCTGTGTCCTCATTGCTCATAGTCACAAAAATCACATCCCTTGGTACTTTCTGTGGCTTTCATTTGCATTTGTCCCTTTGAAAAAATTCTTTGATTCAATATAAAAAAGACATAAATTGCAACTCTCTGGTCCAAATCTTTAAATAAATATTTAAATAAATACATAAGATGTTTTGTTTTTAGGACATGGAAACATTGCTTTACTTTTCCTTTTTTCTTTTGAGACGGAGTCTTGCTCTGGAGGCTGGAGTGCAGTGATGCGATCTCGACTCACTGCCAACCTCCGCCTACTGGATTCAAGCAATTATATTGCCTCAGCCTCCTGAGTAGCTGGGACTACAGGCATGCGCCACCACACCCAGCTAATTTTTTTGTGAGTGACAAGGTTTCACCATGTTGGCTAGGATAGTCTCTATCTCTTGACCTTGTGATCCGCCTGCCTCTACCTCCCAGAGTGCTGGGATTACAGGCATTAGCCACTGCGTCCAGCCTGCTTTGCTTTTCCTGAATTGTCCAGTGACCTATTACAGGCCTTCCTTTCCAGTGAACAATGGACCATGCCAGGTGGATCCTCCACGGGCCTCTAAATGAACTTCTCGTTTTTCAAATCATTCCTCTACATTCACTTTCCGTAATAGTAGATAAATGCATATTTTGGAGTCTAAAGTTTAAACTTTGTTTTATTGAGATTAATGTTTAGGTAGGATCATATCATTCATCTTCTCCAATCTACTCCAAAGACCTCAGTTTTAAAGTATGACAGGAATAGAGATGACTTGACTGGTATCAGTAAGCAAGTGATAATGGTCGTCTGTTTTTAAGGTTTTTAGGAGTGGGAATGTGATTGGAAGTCCAAGCATAGAAATCTGTGTGAACATGAACAGGGATTTTTTCCAAGAAATCCATGAGTTGAGATTTATGTTTATACAGAGCTAGTTGTAAGAATAAAAAGTACATATGGGGGAAAAAAGTACATATGAGAAAGTAATAGTCATAGTGATGAAGAATAATATGCAAATTTTTTTTTTCCCAAGACGGAGTCTTGCTCTGTCGCCCAGACTGGAGTGCAGTGGTGTGAACTCAGCTCACTGGAGCCTCTGCCTCCTGGGTTCAAGTGATTCTACTGCCTCAGCCTCCCAAGTAGCAGGGATTACAGGCACCCACCACCATGCCTGGCTAATTTTTGTATTTTTGGTAGAGAAAGGGTTTCACTATGTTGGTCAGGCTGGTGTTGAACTCCTGACCTCAGGTGATCCACTTGCCTTGACCTCCCAAAGTCTTGGGATCACAGGCATGAGCCACCGCATCCAACCAGAAATTTTAAATTTTATATGAATCTCACTAATTTAGGATTTAAAGACATTTAACAAGGTATTATATCAGAATTGACATTTCAATTGATTGTTTGCTGGAGAAGTGGAAGAGAACCAAACACTCTTCTGTCTGCTTTGCATAAATTTTCTTATTCAGGCTACAGGTGCCATTCACCTGGCTTGTGTATTCAGAGAAGAATCTTAATAGTGAAAAGGTCTTGTTGAATTGAAGAAGAATGTTCAAGAACTGGCAGGCATTTATTTATAATGGTCACAGTTTTCCTTTTTTTTTTTTTTTTTTTTTGGGGAGGGAGACGGAGTTTCGCTCTTGTTACCCAGGCTGGAGTGCAATGGCGCGATCTCGGCTCACCGCAACCTCCGCCTCCTGGGTTCAGGCAATTCTCCTGCCTCAGCCTCCTGAGTCGCTGGGATTACAGGCACGCGCCACCATGCCCAGCTAATTTTTTGTAGTTTTAGTAGAGACGGGGTTTCACCATGTTGACCAGGATGGTCTCGATCTCTTGACCTCGTGATCCACCCGCCTCGGCCTCCCAAAGTGCTGGGATTACAGGCGTGAGCCACCGCGCCCGGCAGTCACACTGTTTTCTTACTGTTTCCATATATGTCAAGCCAATTTGCTTCTGACATGTTAAAACATTTTATTTTATAATTGGATATAGATTTCTTGTATACTTCTGATTATAGAATTAATGCTTACTTTTTAAAAATTATTCAATTACTCAGTTATATTACATAAGGGACTTATAAAGAAGAAAGTTAAAATAGCTCCAGCATCACTTTTATTACTTTGGGAAACTATATTTTAGGAAGATTTTTCAGTACACTTGTATGTGTGTATGTGTCGTGTGTGTGCGTGCATGTGCACACACACGCACATGCGTTTTTCTTCCTGCAGAATAGAAATTGCACTAACTGATCTTTCAAAGGACACAAAGACTCTCCAATTCCTAGTTAGAAAAAGTGATTCTCCCTAACCATAGCTTTTTTTTTTTTTTGAGGTGAAGTTTTGCTCTTTCACCCAGGCTGGAGTGCAGTGGTGCGATCTCAGCTCACTGCAGCCCCTACCTTCTGGTTCAAGCGATTCTCCTGCCTTAGCCTCCCGAGTTGCTGGGATTATAGGCACGTGCTACCACGCCTGACTGATTTTTGTATTTTTAGTAAAGATGGGGTTTCACCATGTTGGCCAGGCTGGTCTCGAATTCCTGACCTTGTGGTCCACCCGCCTCAGCCTCCTAAAGTGCTTGGGATTACAGGCATAAGCCACCTCACCTGGTCAGCTTTCTTATATCTCTGTGCAGTAGGGAGAAGCGTGAAACACCAATTAACCCTGCTAAGTTTGATTAACCTTTGAGATATTTACAACTTTTAGGGTTATATAAACCAATTAAGGATAATTAATATTATACAATTTATCAAATAAGACAGTTCTTCAGGATTATACTTTTTTTTTAGATTTTTAAGGTTGCTTTTACAGGACATAGCAATACTCTTATTTTGGCTAGGTTTTGTTCAGTATTCCATTATGCAAATAACATTTTATAGGATGGATTTATAACAGAAAACAGAATAAGATAGTAACAGCTATAAATATTCATGTAAATATTTACATATAGAAGAGGAGAACAAGATTGAACCTCATATTAAAGTCATCTATATATTGCCTTATTACATCAGTCCCCAACGTTTTTGGCACCAGGGACTGGTTTTATGGCGGACAGTTTTTTCACAGATAGAGAGGGAGATGGTTTCAGGATGATTCAACCACATTATGTTTATTGTGCACTTTATTCTTATTATTACATTGTAACATATAATTAAATCATTCTACAGCTCATCATAATATGGAATCAGTGGGAGCACTGAGCTTGTTTTCCTGCAACTATATGGTCCCATCTGGGAGTGTTGGGAGACAATGACAGATCATCAGGCATTAGATTCTCATAAGGAGTATGCAACCTAGATCCCTCACATGTTCAGTTCATAATGCTGCAGTTGATGTGACAGGAGGCAGAGATCAAGTGGTTAATGTGAGCAATGGGGAGTAGCTGTAAATACAGATGAAGCTTCCCTTGCTGGCCTGCTGCTCACCTTCTGCTGTGTGACCCAGTTCCTAACAGGCTGGGGTCCAGTATCAGTCAGTGACCCAGGGGGTTGGAGACCCCTACCTTAATTAGATCCTTTTAGCTAGTTTTATGTTGAAGAATGATGTCTCCTCTTTGGTAGTTGCAAGAACGAGAGGAGATTGCTTTGTTTTGTTTTGTTTTGTTTTTGAGACAGAGTCTCACTCTATTGCCCAGGCTGGAGAGCAGTGGTGCAATCTCAGCTCACTGCAACCTCTGCCTTCCAGGTTCAAGCAATTCTCCTGCCTCAGCCTCCCTAGTAGCAGGGATTACAGGTGCATGTCACCACCCCTGGCTAATTTTTGTGTTTTTAGTAGAGACGGGGGTTTCACCATGTTGGCCAGGCTGGTCTCAAACTTCTGACCTCAGGTGATCCACCCATCTCAG